TTGAAGAACAACAATCAGATTATGTAATCCTTACATGAACACGTTTTCCTATCTATCCAAAACAAAAAAATCCAGCATTGAAACTGATCATCCAATCAAAGCCAGTATTATTCAAAATTTAATACATTTCACCACACAAAAGTCTGTTCTTTCATGTAGAATGTATGTTAGAGGAGGAACGAGGGTGCAATGCCAAGATTTGTTAGTTAGTTCTGATACAGACTGAATTCTGCATGAAAGAACTGGACATGTTACCAGTTTTCTAATAAACATTGTTTCCTACAAAATGTTTGACAATGTATTCAACTTGATACTCTCAAATAACTAACGAACGGTTATTGGAGAAAAAATATATAAAAAACAGCATTACTAAGTGTATGTTGCTTTGAGCAGGCTCACAAATCTACACACCAGAAGCATTAAATGGAAGGTAAGATGCTGACAGTAATTAAAAGATCTTAAACAACAGACTTTTGGCCAACAATCAACTTTGACAAGCAAATATCACAAGAAGATATAATCAGTACATAACTTAGCTGCACAGGAATAAACTCTCATCTGCTCATGTTTGGACAGGAGGCCGGAGTCGGCAATGATGTCATGTTGGACAGCTGCCTGCAACATGATGAGAGAAGGCATCAGAAAAAGCAGCACTGAGATTAAATTTTTCCACTTCAACATCAACACATAGTCACTGTGTCTGTGACAAACTGTATCTATAATCTATGCAAAGCATAACCGGTTTAGCATTAGTTGTTCACAGTCTTCCCAGGGTTAACAAAATGTACAAAATATATAGAAAAACTTGATGCTCTACATTGCCATTTAATTATGTCAAGCATCACTTAAGGTACCTACATACTAAAAATCGTGACAATCCGTCAGCCGGTTCTTGAGTTATTCTCCCTCTAAGATTTCCCCTCGAAGATTCAATCGAACAAGTGCTCTTGCAGTTCCAGAGCAAGCTGCTAGGGAGCCCAAACTAACGTCACATCTTCCCAAACATAAGAACTATCTAACATTCAAAATTCATTACCCTAGCAAGTCCACATCATGAGGTGGCAAAACCAAAGTTCTGTTACAGTACCAAGGCAAGCCGCCACTGCTGCTGTGTCAGACACCTGCCTGCAACAAGAAGAGATAAATTATATGTCTATTTAATTATAGGAAATGCATTACTGAGAATATAATGACAAAAGATGCCAATCAAGCTAAATTTTTTAGAATTATGCCACTTTACAGCGAACTTGATGTCAGCAAAAACTAATTATGGTTAAAATTTCTAAGGAAAAGTACAACAATTTTTCTTATTTTTCTGGCACTTAGGTTTGAGGAATATGCTATATGCTACTATACATTTAACATCTTTACATACATAAACCTACAAAAAATTGGGTGCACAGCTCCAATTTTTGGTGGACATGCAGCCAGTATTTTGAGCCCTGCTTTATAAAAAAAAAAAACTAGCAATTTTTCATGGATAAATTGTACATCAAATGTAGAACTATAAAGTGCTATGACTACTGTGCTTTAAGCAACCAACTTCACAAATCAAGTGAAGGTCTATTAGGCCTAGAAAAAATGTAACCGGTTTCCCAACTGATCCTAGAAAAACTTCCGACCCTAGCCTTTTTTGGGTGGACTGCAGGGGACAAATTTTTCGAGCTGATTGGCGTTTTCTAGCTCCATGATCTGACACCTCAGTGTTGAAATGTTGTGCAATTAGTTTTCCAACATTGACATTGAAACTGTAAGTGACCTCATGCAAGTTGATTCAAGTTACTTTTTAAAGACTGGAAACACAACATTTTTTCCTAGGCCTGAAGAAAAGCAACAAAAGTGCAAAGAATATAATCCCTTCTGTCTAAAGCTGCAAGGACCATCACGTTTCAGGGAAAAACTGGAATTTCATCCTCCAATTCAGTGGTCAAAATGCGATGAAGGAAAAGGTCAAACAATATTTTAGACCCAACTTCATCTTTCTTTCTCTCTCCTTCCCCCTCCTCTCTGTCTTCCCCCTTTCTTTTTCTCTCTCTCCCTCCCTTCTATTCCTTCTCTCGTCCCTCTCCTTGTTTCTGTCTGTACCCGGCCCGCCAGCGGCCTACTGCCCAGTGGGTAGCCGACAGGACCGCGGCCCACTGCCTGGCGGCGGCTCAACCGATTCGCGGGCGGCTGCCTGCCGGCGTTCCGACCTTCGGTCGGCTGCATAACCTACTGTGCTGTAAGAAGATTTATCTATAATAAATTATACGTATTTTCTATAATAAAATTATAAGTATTTTCCTAAAAATCTGTATGTACATTTTATATAAGTATTTTTCTCAAAATTCACATGTATATCTTACGAGAATAAAGTTCAAAGTATTTCAGAAAACTGGTCAACACGAGTCATGTCCTGTAGCGTTTGTTTTATTCCAATCAAGTAGCGCTGCAGTCAAGTTATACAATTGCAACTTTTATCAACAGTGCCATTTCAAACACATCTACAACTAAACAAAAGCTTGTCGATTGTACAGAGACAACCACGAAGAGGAAATTGTAGTTGGAAAATCGGTCGAGCGGAAAGAAAGACTGCGGCGAAGCTGCGGCGAAACCGCAAACCACATGTTAAGAAACTAGACGGAGTGCCAGACCCGGAACTCACCACGTGGCACAGGCTTGTCGAGTCCAGACGGAAAACGACAAAACCTGCCACCAACTTCACAAAATTTGCGGCGTTAGGAAGTTTCTCCAAAACTAAGGGGAACTCTAACTAGATAAAGGAAGGCCACTTCTTAAGCCCACTATTCGTTTTTAGACTATTAAAGAATACACCGACGTCAGTGGCAAATCTTTTGTTTTGCCCAAACCGCACGAAGACGTGATTACGACATATTTTCTACACTCGGAGGCCGAAATATTTCTCGCACAGTATTCTGCAAAATAACGGCACGTTTTCACCGAACCTCGGGAGAAACCAGGCACAAATATACAAGTAACAACGTAAAATAGCCCTCACCTCCAAAACGTGGCGTTGCGCGGCTCCAAGCACGAATTTTCGGGCAGTTCTTCCTTCTCTCCAATGCCAAGCCGCCATGCTGTCGTCTTCTTCCATGGCGCGATGCACCATGGGTAACACCACCTGCACCACACAGCTGATCTAATCTAATTAAGGACTCATTTTCGCGCCAAAACTCTTCAGACCAAATTTGGGCAATTGGATAAAGTACATTCCACTTATAGTGTTAGGAAATGACTCAAACATTTGGATTTGTTTTTATTAACATTCCGATAGGGACTGTTTGAGGTTCCTTCAACCAATTTTCTGGGGCTGCCTTTCTTCTCATTGTATAAGAAAATCAAAAGAAACTTAATTCAAACTGGGACCAAATTCTTCCCTTCTGGGTCTTAGCCTTATACTTAATATTTCAACCATCCATGAAACTGCTCAAATAGAACTCAGAGAACCTTAACAAGCTACGCTTTCTTCATGCAAAACTATAAATGCTTAAAGAATAATTGACAGATATACTGGTCAGTAGGAAATGTTATTTGTTACATGACAACAATGGCCTCATTACTTGGCTATGAATTAAAAAAGATGAAGTTGAACTTCAAACTGTACAAGCATCACACTTTCAGCACCAAGGACAAACACTGCAGTGGCTACATCAGCCTTTCTCTTCTCTTGGGGAATAATAGAAGAACAGAAACAGTCTGGAATGTCACTTTATTGATTGTTGAAGTCTTACCAGGGATGGAGAAGGTGAAAATGATTTGTATTCTTTTGAAAACATACAAACATCACATCATCACAAAATCAATACATAACAAAATGTATAATTATGATTGTGGATGAATATGAAACTTGGTTAAAATTTCAGTTAAAAGGTTAAAAGTACAAAGACAGTCTATAATAAAAAAAACATCACAACATTTTACTTGAATGCTGAAGTTTATTAAGCACATAGTCATGTAAAGATGGCGGTTAGATTCATCACCACTGCACATATCCTGCACCTCCCCATGGAGAAGAATGGTTGGTTCCACTGCAGTGATGGACTCCTTCCTGTACAACAAAGTGGAGCAAAAAAAACAGCATCAAAATTAATTTTTCAAGTATGAGAAAAACATACAAAGTGCATAAAGTTCAGCCCAAACCATGTGCAAATATTTTCAGCAGTTTTTAATCTGTTTACTTGTCTACAAAACATCACCGAGAGCAGACCAGACTTGTTTGTCCTAAGTGTATGGATAAAAGACCTCTAGTATAAATATAAATATGCACTACAAAACCAGGCAAACAAACGACATGTAATGTTTTTCAAGTAATGCAGTGGTTTGAAATATCTTCACCAAAACTTCAAGTTAGTGTCTGACTGGGGCCCGGGAGGTTGTGGGTTCGAACCCCGGCCCGGGACCAGTGGGTTTTTTTACTGTCTCTTCCTGTTTCTGACACTGGTTCCCACACCGGCCCTGTGAGTTCTCAGGCAAAGAGTGCTGCTCCAGGGATAGATGTACATTTTATCATTATAGAGCAATATGACCAAGACATGCTGACCAATGCTCATGCCCACCCAACATCTGCTTGGATTATAACTGCTCAATTACAGATTGCAATATGCTGTCTGTATAAAAACATTTCAAAAGGAACCCAAGAAATAATCATGAAATGACGCTGTTTTTTTTTTTACATTTACAAAACACCAGTTGGCAAACAGCTATTGGACCAGGGAATGTCCTTGAATGGTTACAGACAGTGCTTATGATGAATAAAGATGATATTAAAACTACGTCACACCATCAGCAGTTCTTAATCTACTCATTAGTCTACCACACCTCACCCAGAGCTGACTGGACATCTTTGTCCTGCGTGTAGAATTTGTCAGTAACTCTCAGAGACTGAGTCGGATCCTGTCCTGTTAAAGCCAGCTGGTCACTGACAGTAAAGGCATTGAAGAAGCTCACCTCTGGTAAGTGCTGACACATACATATAGAATACAGTACGGGAGAGCTGGGACCGAGGGTGATGCGGAATTCACTGTTTATGATGATGATGATGAATGGTTTATTGACATACAAATCCATCGCAGCCCGCAGGCTGAATTGCGGATTCCGATTACAAATATTTTCAGAGCTCAATTCAAAATAAAACAATGGGTCAATTATCATATATATAAGTATAAAAAGAAATAACGTTGATGAATAACGTTTACCGTGTTGTATTTTATTTATGTCATACCCACCCAAGAAAACATGCCTTTCAATGCAAAATTTGCTGTCCACAAACTGAAAATGCAATGAAATCATTGATTCCAATGTTCAAATCCTGTATTCGAATCTTCCAAAGTGGTGCACGCAGTTAGGGCGAAATGTGTCTAAATTATTCTATGGAAGCCAAAACCGTACCGTAAAATATAGCCTGGTCCGGAACACCGTTGCATTAGAATTTTGCCTGTTGCAGAAGATATCTTTTCCGACATAACATTTGGAAAGTACAGACAAAATGTTAACCTTATATATGCAAATATGACCTTATATGAGATGTTCTGCCAAAGTGCTTAATGCACAATACATTACAGATTTTGCGCAGGTGCAGTACGTTCTGCCAACGTGCTAGAAAATGCTTATGACTATAAATGTCATGTGATCTGCACTAATAAGTCTGGTTCACATAATCATACATGAAGCAGGATTGGAGTCATTTCTCCTCGTACATGTAAGGCCTAGGAAAAATGTTGTCTTTTCCTGTTTCCCGACAAACCCTAAAAAACTACCGACGCTAGCCTTTTTTTTTGGGTGGACCCCTTTAAGGGACATATTAAATTTTTCAAGCTAATCAACCATTTCTAGCTCCATGATCTGAACCCCGAGTGATGAAACATTGTACAATCGATTTTCCAACATTGACTCACTCACTCATTGGAAATATAAGTGTTGTCATGCAAGATTTACATGTACTTTGATAAACTGTGTTGTGTAAGTTGGATCACCACATACCATTATTTCTGTAATTCAAAAACGCATAACTAGTATATCATTAAGTCAGTAGTAGGCACAAAAGCTCCTGAACAATATTATACAGACACAATTGATCCTGATTTCCTATAATATCCTGATTATTTTCAGTCTGCAACATTGCAGATTGCTTAATTTTTCTTCTGCAACATTGGAAATATCTCTGCAAAAGGCAAACTGCAGATGGGTATTTCTAACACTGGCCGGTATCAGGAATTAGGTATATTTTGAGCCATGAATAGTCAAACAGTTGCTGTCCTTGGTGCTGATATTATGGTAGTGTTTGCTTTGCTTTTCTAACAAAGAATATAGCTGGCACAGTGTTTTTACACCTCTAACTGTTAACAATGCACTACATCTAGAAGTAGAAGAAAAAAACTGTGTGATGCAGGTGGAACTTGTATTGGGCAGGTAATTTATACCTCAAATTTCAGGAAAAGATAGTCATTGCTAGATGTAGTAAGCACTACACACTCAGTGTGTCAACAAGCATTTTCTCATTAATAAACAGTTCCTAGAAGCATTTGACTGCAAGATGGCTGGAACACCCATGTCAGAAGACATATCCTCTGCTACAGGTAAGGGCCAAGTCACATTTCTTTTTTTACAAATAAATTTCAGCTACCTTGTGCTTGAAATGCTGTCATAGACCCTTGCTAATTATAAAGTCATACGATCATTTCTGTCATACTCATATTATAGTCTTTTATTTTACCTTTTATGTTCAGTAATTAGCATTTGTCAAAATGTACTTTAAATTAAGAGTAGAGCTGTGTACCTATTAACAAATTTTAGGTACAGGTACATGGGTTAAGGTACAGGTCCGGTACCTAAACAATTTGACCAATTTATAATATGCTCTTCTGAACTCCTTCAATAACGAGAAAAACATTAATACTCTTGACAGTTAAGGGTTAGTTCTTGTTTATGGAGAATATTCAGACAAACTAAGATGTTTAACTTTTCATCTCCTACCCTAAGTGGCTTCATGCGACTCAAACCTGACCAAAGTGACATCTGGAGGGAGCTTAACTAATATGCAACAGATCATTTAGGGTAGTTAACACTTGTCAGTGTGTAACACAAACACACTGTCCTGTCTCAGGGACCCATGGGGGACCAGCTATTTCCCTATCTTAGGTCACAAATAAGCATATAATTAGTGTGAAATTATACACTGTCAGGTAGAGTCAGTACTGGTTCTGGTAGATGAGGCATTTTGGACCTGTACCTTATAAATTTTGTTGGTACAGTATTGGAACTGTGTGCCGGTACACAGCCCTTCTCGAGAGTGTTAAAGACATACAACATATTCTTAAACTTGACCTCTGCACTTGCAGCAGATACAAGCAGGGATGAAAACAACGAGATATATCAGCCTGAAGATAATCCCCACTGGTCAACAATCCTGCTAGAAACCCAAGAATTCAGTACCCTGTACACTGAAGACTCTGACTCAGAAACAATGTCAACTTCCCCTCCTGGGAATGTTTCAGGTATTGATGAAGAAAGATCAGCAGCAGAGGCCACAAACATCACTGACAATACTGAACCTGAATATCATAACCCTGAAGACAATACCGATAGTAACTCTGGGCCACCCGTAGATGCTAGTGACATAGATGACACAGACAGAGCACCTAGTAGTAATATGCAGCACCCGGACACCACAGGGAGTTTAGGGGATGTTAACATGCCTGACGATATTGACATCGAATCATACGATGTCTCTTACGAAACAAGCAACGAACCTGATACCCAAAATCCCAACAAGAAAGTGATGACAAATCCGATGTACGAAGAACTGCCTGATGACAAGAACTTACAGAAGCTTCAATCCCAACCAAGCATGAAGGAACTGCAGCAAAACGCGATTTACGGAGGACAGACTCCTCTCAGCCAGTTGGCAGCAGGTAAGACTAGGCCACACCAATTTAATTTGTTGGTTCTCGGATTCGCCTCTTCATTTTTTTCTGATTTAAAAAAAACCCTTCTGGTTCTGAATCAACTAAAAAAAGTTCACAACATTTGAGGAAAGTACTTTTCTATCTTGTTGTTACAGTTTTTCCATATATCAAATTGAATGCAGTGGTTTGATTAAGAGTTCAAAATTCATTGTTCAACCCAGGCTTTTGTGTTGAATTCATGGCTCCTATCCTAGCATTTCGGGCTATAATAGGATGCCTACACCTGTTTTTATTTTATCTTTTTTTCGCCCTGTCGCTTCATATTTTTTTCTGAAAAATCTGAGTACCAAATTCTGAGTACCAACAAATAAAACACCAAAAAGTTATGCATTCTTTCATCCATCATGTTAACACTCAAGTATAAACTAGTTTGTAGTCAATCTTACCTCCTGTAATGTGTTCATTTCTCTGTTCAATTATCTGTGTTTTGTTTACCTTTTAGTCTGTTAGATGACTGTACGTTTTTATTTTGCATAATTTGAATTAAGTATTTGAACCTGCAAGATTAGCCTTTAGGCTACATTGAATCAAAATAAAGAGAATGAAGAGAATCAAAGAACTTGATCCCTACTCAAGACATGTTCCTTTACAGTTAACTGATTCATATGTATGTAAAACGAAAACTGCATATTTTGTATAAAACATTTGTTTTCAACAGATGACTCCCCAATATATCGCTATTGCTACCTCATCGCTTTTGTAGTTTTCCTGGTCATGGTTGGACTGATAACATCTGGAATCATTGTGGGGATGTACCACAACACTCAGGATCATGGTAACCCCACGGTAAGGTGTTTTTTCCTTCTACAAGTCTTTAATATCTTTTGTAGAGAGAGGGAGAGAGAGACAGAGACAGTGAGAGAGAGAGGGAGAGACAGAGAGAGGGAGAGAGACAGTGAGAGGGAGAGAGACAGTGAGAGGGAGAGAGACAGTGAGAGGGAGAGAGAGAGAGAGAGGGGGAGAGAGAGTACTATAACAGTGATTTTATTATTTTTCTGACACACACAATAGTTGGGAATATGCTGTATTTGGCAATTTTACATATGTACAAAAATATTTGAGTGCACTGCTGCACCCACAGAAAAAGATGCACAACTCCAAATTTGGGTGCACTAAGGTGCACATGCACCCAGTATTTCAAGCCCTGCTACATGTATGTTGTTACACTTACAGGTCTCCCCAATGCACATGCAAGGATCCATTAACTGGAGTACTACCTTCATAGTGATAACAGGACCTGATGATACCAGCCCACCCATCCTTGGGACCAACCAAACTAGCCTTGGAGACACTAATGGTATTAGTATAACCCATCAAATATCATCATTAATATTAATGTATCACTGGCATCAGCATAGGATGGTGACCATAGAAATTGTTTCATCTACAAAATGTTTCTCTTTTCTAATTTCAAGGCCACAAATACAGGGTACAAATTTAAAGCCTCTAAAATCTCTTGCATACCTGCAATGTAACACGGAAATTTTCTTGAATCCATTTTCACATGATTTTTACCTCTGTTTCGTTCCAAAATATGTTCTATTCCATGATTTAGTATGAAGTGGAATGCATCAGTATTCAATAACATGGTCCATTTCAAAACATGTTCTGAAATAACAGAGGTGGAATTTGCTTGTTGTATTCAAAACATGATCCATTCCCAAACGTAGGGTTGTGTGGCGTAACGGCAGACCATTCGACTCAGAACCAAGAGGTTCTGGGTTCCAATCCTGCCAAGTCACCAACTTTGTGCCATTGGGAAAAGCACTTTACATGACTTTCCTTACTTTGCACAGCTGAAAATGAGTATGGCGGAATGATCATGATACTGATCATTAATTTGATCATTCTAGCATATTCATTAACCAAAGTTGAACATGACTTTTGCAATCATACATGCATGTTTGATTCTAAGTTATTAATCCCAATCTGATTGCAAACACATACATACAGGCTTGTTCATTGTATGTTTTGTCTGCAGGATTGGGAACTCAGCAGACTGACACAGAAACAATTGTCACATTTGGTGGGCACGGGAGAGTCTGGATAAAAAAACATAATTTTATCTGGAAAAAACAGAAAAAACCCTTGTATCGCAAGTTCAACTATGTGAGTGGACTGGCCGTGTCCTCGACTAACGAGCTATTCGTGGCTGACCCATGGAACAGACGCATCCAAGTCTTCAGCATGAAGGGCGATTTCCTCCGCAGTTTGGATACAAAAAACAAGAAACCCTGTGACATTGCCATGGACCGGAATGATACCCTGTTGGTCCTTTTGACTGATGTACCCAAAAATGTATTCAGCAAGAGCAACATGAAAAAAGCCTTCTCTAAGAAAAAGAGGGACAAAACTTGTATCCATCTCTACAGCAGGGAAGGCCATGTTCTTGAAGAGTTCACATGTACAGCACCATTGTCGTTCACCGATAAATTTGCCTTGGACACACTTTCTGATGACATTATAATGATCACGGGAGTAAAGAAATCTAAAGTGAAAAAGCCTGGCTCAGCTGGCCGGTTTCATAAACGCTCGTGCACACTGCAACCTTTCAGTGGGAAAGAACTAAAGAAGCCATCAAATGTCGCAGTGGACAAGGAAGGGAACATCTACATCACTGAGGACCAAAGCCATAAAGTTCTCAAGTATGACAAGAATGGGACATACATCAACAGCTTTGGCCACAAAGGTGACGAACCTGGCAACCACCTTAAGTCTCCCTGGGGCATCTGTGTGGACAGTTTGGGTCGCATCATTGTGGCTGATTGGGGAAACAATCGGGTGGAGATGTTCACAGCTAAAGGAGAATATATTCGCTCCATCGCTAATGTCAGGCAGCCCTTGCGTGTTGCTATAGGAAGGGAGGGCCAGCTTATTGTGAGTTGCAGGGACCACTACGTCACTATCTTTCCAAAATCTTTGTTGTTGTCATATTCACCACATATCATATACTGCTGAGGCAGGCCATCATTGCCTTCCCCAGGGCTCAAAATTAAAGGTGGTCCAATGGCCACAGAAACTAAAATTTAGGCTGGGACAACTGAAAAGACAGTTTGGGACATTATTGGGACAATAGAAAAATAATCTGATTCAGTATTTCCCCCCCCCCTTACGGCACCCCTCGCGGGATTATTTGGGGGTAACAAAGATGAAGATGAAGAGAATATCAGCCCTTCTTTTGTTTATCAGGCACACGTCCCAGCTTTTGGATCCGGAAAAATCCCCCTGAATTTCCTGTCTACTCTGGAATTATAGTGTGCCTGGGAGTGAACATAAGCAAAATGGGATAGGAAGAAGAAACAGAAAAACAATATGTTTTCCTTCTGCGAAAGTGAACATAACAACTTAATACAAGTATACAATAATCAGAATAACCAGGCAATAATCATAACAATCATGATATTTAGCACACAATAATGAATTAGCTGACGTTGTTCAAAAGCAAAGTGAAGTATATATGGGATGGGGCTGTTCTTTTATATCTACTGGATCTTGCCATCAGAGCTGATTATTGCTTTTCAAATTTCTGTTGTGTGCATCTTTCCACCACAGGGCAACAAGTTTCAAAATGTCTGTGAATTCAACAGAAATTTGGCAAATTTAAAGCTTAGCAATTCTCTTCTATCTTTCAAGCTTGCTGTGGAGTCGTGTGGCGTAGCCGTAGTGTGTTTGGCTCAGAACCGAATCCTACCCATGTCAGCGATCTTGTGCCCTTGGGAAAGGCACTTTACACAACTTTCCTCACTTCACTCAGGTGGAAATGAGTACCTAGCTTCGGTTAGGGACGTCCCTTGGATAGGACGTTAAATGGAGGTCCCGTGTTTGGGAAGAGCCACACCCCACGCACGTTAAAGAACCCACTGCACTTACCAAGAGTAGGGGATCTTCCCAGTATGAGTGGTTCAAACTTTCAGTCCGGTCTTACACAGCTTGTACTAACATGTACAAAACTGATGTGTTACGCCTAAAGGCAGTTTACCAGTTATGCAAAACAAACAAACAAAAGGTAACAGCGGTCAAGTTGAGAAAGGGCTTCATCATAATATTATTGAGGGCCTAAAAAATTATTCTAAGGGCATGTTTCTGTATTCGTTATCATTCAATTCAACAGCAAAGGTTTTGACAAGTTTGGGGGATATCCTGTATATACATGTATATATATAATGCCAGTACTGTTACAATCATGCATGTACTTTTTCAGTAGTTTTATATTGTGGAACAAAAAAAAAAAACCTCTGAAGTTTGTGCCTGAAAAAGTTGTTTAATAGGGAAGAAATATGACACACATATTAGTAGTGTTATGATTTCAATGCAAAATGGCACTTTGGAATAAACGGCCTTAAAAATTTACCAATTTATACTGTATAATAATTATCAATAGTACAGAATGTACTTGACTAGGTCTCCTTGTATTGACTTGTCTAACTTTTGTTTCCTTTTGGACTTTAAAAAAATTGTCTACACTTATTTCCATATCAATCAATAGTTTGTGCTTATAAACCTGCATTTCTCCTGCAGTCTGTTGACATAAAGTCGCTGACAAAAGGTAGTGGATGCCACCTGAAACGTTTGACTGTAACTAAAATCATATTCGGTTGCTTGAGTAACTGTTTTTTGGTGTGCCAGCCTTATGTTGTGTAAGAGGGTGTAGAGTCACCTTTGATGCCCATAGAAGGAAGTTAACACAGTCACTCATTTGTCACTCGCCTCCTTACCTGTAACAATGGTATTATAAAGCTTGCAATTCACTCTCACGACTGACATATCAGGACTCGAAATTTATTTTTGGGAATAGGTGCACTGGTGCACCCAACCTAAAAAATTAGATGCACAAAAATATATTGGGTGCACCATATAAAACAAAACCTAATTACAGATCTTAGTATGAACCTTAATCTGAAATGAGAGCTACATTTAAATATCTTAAACAAGTACTACAACAAAGATTTTATTATTTTTCTGACACGAAGAATATCCTGCATACTATTATACATTTGATATGTACAAAAATACCTAGTACATAAATATTTGGGTGCACCAGTGCACCCACAGAAAAAAAATTGGGTGCACAGCTCCAAATTTGGGTGTACTAAGGTGCACATGCACCCAGTATATTGAGTCCTGCATTATACACTCTCACTCTCAGTAACTATTGGCAGCACTACATGCATTCAAATGGCAATGAATTTATTGTTTTTTATCATTATAACTTATCTCTGTTTTTTAAAATCTATTTAACTCTGTATATTATATGCCTCTCTGTTTTTAATGTTAGGCCACAGCAAATAACTTTAATGGATGACATCAGCATGCACTAAGTTTTGCCTGATTTTAGGGAAAAAAAGAAGAAATTTTGTTGTCCTCTGACAGTGGTAAATATGCCAAAAAAGGGCAAAGATGACTTTTGCCATGCTGGAAGGTGGATGGCAGATAGGTATGAAGAGAGAAGACAGGACAAGGTCCTGATTTACTGATTTGTCTTTTACTCTGAAGCAGTGATGTATCTAAATCCTTTTATATGTGATGGTGACTGTGTATATGTGATGGTCCCATTGAATCAAAACCATTCGAACAATGATTGAAAACTTTTATTTTTCAACGTTGTCTCAGTGAGAAATGGAAGTTTTAATACCACCTAACACAATATAGGTATCATTTCTTGTTTTACAAGGTTTATGAAGTTGAAATTTGAAAATGTAGGAATCTTGCTTTTTTTTTGGCCCACCTTTTTTTTGCAATATCGCATTAGATTTGGAGTCTGCGGAGGATGCCACCCATAAAATTTACTTGCTGTGACCTTATGTAAGAATATTGGCCTTTGGTGCCTGAAATAAAGTAAAAGGATCTACTTTAATGTGCTTTTTAAATGGCAATGTTGCAATGATAACTCTAAATATTGTAAATTATGCGCCTGTATCTATTATTCATTCATTTTGCAATATGCTGTCTGCATAAACAAGTTTTCAAAAGAAACCAAAGAAATAATAACAATCTAGGCTCTTTTTTTCTATACTAGTACTGACAACATATCCCAATTGGCAAACAGCTATAGAACCAGGAAATGTTCTTATATGGTTATAGACAGTGCTTTTGTTGAATAAAGATGTTGTGTTAAATGTTGAGTATTCAGCAGTGCTTATTTTGTTTATTAGTCCACAAAACATCAGACTGGACTTGTTTGTCCTGAGCGTAAGGATAAAAGACCTCTCAGGCCACACCAATTTAATTTCTTGGTTAACGGATTTTTCTACAAAAATAATGGAGTGGGCGGGCGGAAAAAAATAAAAATTAAAAAAAGGCCTAGGCATCCTACATTGTATTATGGCCCAAAATGGTATGATAGGAGCCAAGAAGTCAACACACCAGGCTGGTTCAAAATTTGAACAATGAATTTTTAACTTTTAATGATACCATTGCATTGAAAGATGGAATAACAGTAACAACTAGGCTGAAAAGGACTGTTTTCAACTGTTCGGGGCAAAATATGAGCATTTTGCAGTTGATTCTGAGTTTTTATTTTTATTTGCAAATCAGAAAAAATGAAGCGGGCGAAT